ACACTCTAACACTGTCAGCAGAACCTGAACTGACCCAACCTCTAAGAAGGGCAGTTTCACAGTTTATCAAGGCTTAAATGGTGCACATACTTTGATGCAACAATTGTGCTTTTACTAATTCATCTGAAAGCCAAAGACCCTAAGGACTCTCAAGTATGACTCCTTGTGCAGGGATACTCATTGCAACGCAAGACTATAAACTTTAAATGCCTGCCTAGCAGATCTAAACAAAAAAAAAAAAAAATTCTTTCCATACATACACAACACACACATACCTTCTGGAAAAACATACAAAAAATGTATCATTTCTTGCTTTTAGGGAAAAAAGCCAATTAGCTGAGGATAAAGGTAGAAAGAAACTTGCCTTTCACCATATGTTCTTTCATTTTTTTTCTTTTTCTTTTCTTTTTTTGTTTGGATGGTTTTTGTTTTTTTTAAGACGAGGTTTTAAGTTGCCCAAGATGGCATTGAACTCAAAACTCTCTTGCCAGGTAGGGAAGGATGACCTTGATCTTCCTGCCTCCTGATGAAGGCTGGGATAACAGGCATGTACTACAACAGCTGGATAAAGAATATCTGGATATCCTTTTGAACCATTTGAATTTCACACATTACTTATTTAAAACTTAAATTAAGACTTCAGGATTTTTTTTTCACCTAGTTAGCAATTGCTAAATACTTCCTCCTCTTTAGGTCAGTTCCTATGTTAGCAATAATGTTTAATCATTTTCCCAATTAACGTTTCACTTAAGTAACCTCACATATTAAAGCATAATACTAACTTGTATTCTATTACCCCCGTCATTCCCTTTTCTCTTAGCTCCATCTCTTAAAAAAAAAAAAAAAAGCAGGCTAGAGAGCTGGTATAGCCATTAAAGGCTATGACTAACAACCAAAACATTAAAAGATAAAAAAATTAAAAAAGCAGGACTGGAGAGATGGCTCAGCGGTTAAGAACATTGAATGTTCTTGTAGGAGACCAGGGTTTGAATCCCAGCACCCACATGGCAACTAACAACAGACCGTACTCCAGTTCCAGGGGATTTGACAGCCTCTTCTGTACTCCGAGGGCACTGCATGACACGGGTGCACTTACCTACATGGAGGCAATACATGCATACACATAAAAATATAAAAATAATAAATAGAGCTGGGTGTGGTGGTACATGCCTTTAATCCCAGCACTTGGGAGGCAGAGACAGGCAGATCTCTGAGTTCAAGGCCACCGTGGTCTATATAGTGAGTTCCAGGACAGCTGGGCTACAGGGAGACCCTGTCTCAAAAAGACCAAAACAAACAAACAAATAATAATAATAATAATAAATAAATAAATAAAAATACATGCCTTTAATCCCAGCACTCAGGAGGCAGAGGCAGGAAGATCTCTGTGAGTTCAAGGTCAGCCTGGTCTACATAGTGAGTTCCAGGACAGCTGGGCTACAGGGAGACCCTGTCTCAAAAAGACCAAAATAAATAAATAAATAAATAAAATATTTTTTTAAAAAAAGCAGCACCATTCCCCTGTTTTCTTCCTGGGTGTATAAAGATTACAAATTACTGAAGACTAAAAAGTTATGAATACAAATGTCTTGACCTGTGGGGCAAACACATCATCACCATACTCAGAAAATAGCAGAAAGGGGCAAGAATTAGGGTATAAGTACTTGCCGCCAAGCCTGGTGATGTAAATTCTATCCCCAGAACCCACATGGTGGAAAGAGAGAACTGACCCCTAAAACTTGTCCTCTGACCTCCACATACACACAAAATAAATATTTTTTAAAGAGAAAACAGAAAGGCAAGACAGCATTCAAAGTTTCACAAAATATCACTTGTGCTGGCACAATATCTAGTCTGCTACTTTAAGAACTTGGTTTTATCTGTTTGGAGCCAGTGGGGCTACAGAGAAGTGAGCCACAACAATAAAATCAGTACACTGATATCTTATACATGTCATCAATGTATTCATTTAAAATTGTTAATACAAATGTACACTGTGGTGCACACATATGTATATAAATGTGTCTAACTGTAGGTATATATGTATATACATTAGATATATTTTCCCAAGAATATTTACACACGAATGCCAAGAATGCTCAAGGAAAATCACATGATACTAGAAGACTGTACAGGGAGAAGAGACCATGTCAGAAGGGTCAGGGAGGGCTCCCAAGAAAAAAATACCATGACTGGGTTGAGATTCAATGGAGACTGAAGCCTAAGATAGCTCCAGCAGGCCAGAAGAATATGCACAGGGGCTCTGGGGCAAGAAGGAGCCAAGGAGGTAGAAAGATCAAAGAGCAAGAAAATACACCTGAGGTGAGAGAACGTCTGTGGGGCCTTTTAGCACTGTTCAGGATTTTTGCCGTATGGTGAGAACAATGAAATGCCAGGAAAAGCTGGGTATGTTGGCATACACCTGCAAAAAGAGAAGGAAAAAAAAAAAAAAAGCCAGGAAAGGGCTGTAAGCAGGGCTGAGGAAAGATTTTGTACCTGCAAAGGATTAGCGCTACTTGAATGGAAGGTACAAGCAGAAGTCGAAGACTGCTTAGAATGCTACTGTAGGAGGCCTGGGGACAATGACAGCAAGAATCAGAGTTATGACAGAAGTAAAATAAATAGGGCTTGATAACTAATTACAAATGAAGCTGAGAGTGGGGAAGAAAAGCTTAAGGAGGATGCCCAGATTTCAGATGGGCATAACTGAAAGGCTAAAGATAGTATCACCAAGCCAGGTGTGGTGGCACACAGCTTTACACAGGTCTCTGAGTAAGGTCAGCCTGGTCTACATACTCAGACCCTGTCTCAAAAATGTAAAATAAAAAGCCATCACTGCAAGATAACAGGAACACTCCAGAAGACCAGGTTGTGCTGTTTTGTTTCATTTCACAGGGACTGGATTTGAGGAAATGCAAAAAGGAAGACAGAAGTTTTTCTAGTATGTGGAAGCCTTGGTAAAGAAGAATGAAAAATTGAAAATGGAACTAAAGGTTAAAAGAAATGGAAAATTAATAAACCAAAAAAAAAGAAGAAAAGTTGAGCCTCCAGGGTCAGTCATAAAACAGGCCTATACATTCCTGTTCCTCCCTGCCACTTAAAACCTTTTTAATTATCTCAAAATAGAGCAGAGAGATGGGGGCAGACTGAATACACAATACCTAGAAGAATAAAGAATTAATATGAAAGAATTTCAAAGTATATCATTGCACTATTAGAAATTTCCCAGTTTTGAAAATGAGGGGAAAATGGAGGATCCGACATGGACAAGGATGAATTAAGTGGCAGCCTGGGGAAAGAAGCAGAAAGAAGACTAATGACTCCTCTTCCTGAATTTTCACAGTTTAGGCACGTTTTATCTTCACCTCTGGACAAATGGCTGTTCTTGTCCTTGTGTGCTAAGGGAATGCAGAAATAGCTCCATACCCAAGGCCTTTATTTGAAATCGTGGCTTCCACTGCCCTCAGGTGGTGGCAGGGAGAACGGCACAAACCAGGTTACAGGACCCTGAGAATGCCCACATGAAGTTTATGGTAAAATAATTAATCCATGACCAAAGACTAAAAATTGCAGTGGGAGAAGGCAAGCTAGAATTAGTCCTTGCCAAGAGATTTATCTTCTAAGCTATCAACACACAAAAATCTAAGTTCTCATTACTAATTAGATAAGAAAAAAGATGTCTCCTGTTTTTTTCTCATGGTGAAGACCACATATGCAGCAATTCCATGATGCGCAGTGACATACTCTCATTTCAAATCCAATTCATGGTATACTGTATTTTTGGCTGCTGAGAAATGCCTCGATTTCATTTTAATGGCAAATACATACAAATGGGTTAATAGGCATTTCTCAAAAACATCAAAAACCTTATCACAAACATCAGTGATTGTTTCATTGAACATGCAAAATTCCCTTTGTTACCTTCAAATTAATCAATTGATTTTTTTACTATCTAGAAGAACAAGGCACAATAGCAAACACAATTCAAAAACCATCATGTTCTCAAAACTGATCTAAACAATTTATCACTGATAACAAATCAACTTAGCAACTACACACACACACACACACACACACACACACTCACACACACCACGTTGAATGACTAATACATCATTCCTGACAGTTTTCTTCATGGTTAAAAAAAAAAAAAAAGCTTGTGCAACACAATGTTTGACATTCTGTACATAATTTAATTTTACCTTTCTTCTACCAAACTGAAAGTTCACTTACAAATGTATGCTTTTAAAACCGTCTACACACACGTATTAATTGGACTCGGGCTTGTTTTTTCGTTTTCTTTTTTGTAAGGCATGTGAACTCAAAGATAGGACCAGAATGTGAAATTATTGCGCTAGGTACATTTTTTCCAATTTTCAGTTTCTACACCCGGTCACAGCACACATAATTTTTGTCTCAAGCATATTCTTGATCTCCTTTTCCCTCTTTTTACATGTAGAAACCATTATCCATTCTGTCTCTGGAAACCCCCAAATATTAATAATTTCACTGCTTTTTCTTCATTCTCTTGGTTCTCCCCCCATACATTCCAAAGGCAACATCCCCAACAAACACGGGGGGCGGAGGGGACGACACATTCTTCTTCGGTGTCAAAATACCTAACTCTTACACACTTGGGTGGCTTTTTTGTTAAAGTCACTCCTTGAAATGCTCGTCTTCTCTCTTTAACTTGGCACTCTTTTTGAGATCATTTTCCACAGCCAAATACCAATGTCTTTCTTTCATCAAACTGAGGAAGGGGAAGAGATTAGGGACCGAGTAAGCGAAACATTTGGGACTGTCAGACAGCGGCGTCTCCTCTGAGAGGAAGAACCAACTCTCAGCACCGAGCTTCCCACGCGGCAGACTTTCCTCGCGTGTGTCCCGGCTCCCTGACCTCAAAGCCACCTTCCCCGTGCTCTGCCTGCGGGTCCCCGGCTGCCGGGCCGGCCTTCCCTCCCCGGTCGCGGCCGTCGCCCGCAGCCGGTCCCCCGACTCACCTGGCAGGTGCGGCCGCCCGGAGAGCTGCACGAAGCGGTTGAGCTGGCCAGTGCCCCGACCCCCGCCGGCCCCGGTCCCGCTTGATCCGCCGCCCCCACCGGCCGCTCCTCCTCCCCGCCGACGGTTCCTGTCCCAGCCCTGGGCAGCCGACATGGCCCGCTAACGATTGCAGCAGACCGTCCCGGCAAAGCCCTGACCCGGCGGCACCAGCCGAGCCTCCTTCCTGGGCTCCTCAAGAGACCCGGAGACAGGGGAAGGGGGAGCTCCCGGTCCCGCCAGCGACCAATGGCTGACCGCTTTGGTGACAGAGAGCCAATGGAAGAGCGTCTTCTTGACAGGTGGCGGGAGGCGGAGAGAGACGTGGTAACCATAGCTATGGCTTAAAAAAAAAAAAATTGTGGGGGGAGAAAAAGGCAGAATCAGCCAGTTATCGACCGCATCCAACGCGTGGAGCGAGCCCTTGTGCAGGGAAGACCGCGGTCTCAGGCCAGCCAATCGAAGGCCGACTGAAGGAGGCCACGCCTGGGGAGAGACACCCCACCGGGGCGGTACTCCAGTCTGGGTCTGTACTCCAGAACTCTTTCCCATAAACACTGCCGTCAGAAGCAGATGGACACCATGCATGTATTTGGTGTCGGTACAGTTTTCTAGCAGCTTTGCAGACTGGGGTCCCATTTCTGGACGGTTGGCACACACAAAGGGCTCGCGGGGGGTGGAGTCAGAGTTTAAATCCGATAGTCCCGGGTTGCATCATTTGTCTTGTGGGCTTGGCGGGACTCAGGCAAACAGTTTGCATACCTGGTTAACAAATACCGAAACATGTTCAGTCTTACTAGTATCATAGAAATGCAAATTAAAGTTCCAACGAGAAAACATTTCTGGCTTTTCACAGACATTAGTAAAGACTTTTTAAATAACACCCGGCTATGTGAACAGTGCCAAGAAAAAGATACTCTCACGGATGACTGACGGCTATGTAAATGTTTTTACTCTTTTTGCTCGAAGAAAATTGCGATTCACTTACAATATACACAATGAAAAGGAAGTGTAAAATTAATGACAGGAAATGGAACGGACGATAAGATTAAAGAAAAATGTAAATGTCAGATCAGAAATTCCTATTGTTCCAAAATTAAACAGAAAAGCTGTCTTTGAACTTGGGGGCGCAATGCAAAGTGGGAAAACGCAGATACTCAATGCTGTTTCTGAATAAGGAAAAACCACATAAAATTCTCAACGGAAGCAAAACTTTTCAAGGTTTTCAAGTTATGATAGACTCCCCAAACCCCCACTGTTTCACACAGGAGAACCTTACATGCTGCAGATTTTTAAAGGGGGCTGGGGACTGCTGGGGTGACAAGTATCCTTTGATCCTGGCCAGCAAATTTCATGTCATCACTAGCCCTAATGGCATATATGGGACCATAGTCCCATATCCAATTTCTGTACGAAAAGAAGTATTTTAGCCATTAAGCATTATAATGCATTAATAAAATGTTTGGTATGTGTGCCGGGCGTGGTGGCACACGCCTTTAATCCCAGCACTCAGAGGCAGGCCGATCTCTGTGAGTTCAAGGCCAGCCTGGTCTACATAGTTTGTTCTTCACAAAAATTAAAAAAAACAAAAAAAAAAAAAAAAAAAAAAATTCTCTCCTTTATTCATTTTCAGTTTTCTAAGAAAGCTTTACTTAACGTGTTTTGTATAAAGCCTAATTTATAGCACCATATATAGACATGAATTAAGGCAACAAGTCCTTTGATTATATTTTTTAAAAGGTTAGATGTATACTTCCTTGGCATCAGGTTTTTTTTCCAAACTACCTTTCAGCTTAATGTGACAGTTTCACTGCCTTCCCATTGTTTTTCTGCCTAAAAAAACAAAGTAGCTGGAAGTCCATATATTTATCACTTTTCAGTCACAAGTTTGATATGTGAAAATAATAAGTGTGTGGCTAGGCATGTAGGCAGTACAGTTGTTAAAATGCTTGTCTAGCAAGCACAAAGCCCTGGGTTCAGTTCCCCACCACCATTTAAAACTCCTTGTGACAGCACACACTCCTATCCCAGCACTAAGGAGGTGGTGGCAGTAGGTCATGAGTTCAAGGTCAGCCTCCGCTACATAGCAAGTTCAAGGGCAGCTTGAACTGCAGGACACCACGTCTCAAAAAACCAGAACAGAGCAAAACGTAATCCCAGGTAGAAGTGAGGAATATCAGAAATTCCAGAGCCTTGGCTAGGTAGTGAGTTCAAATCTAGCCTGGGATACATGAGCATGTCTCAAAAAAAAAGTTCATGGTTCTAAAATAGGAAAAATAAGAATTGATGAGTTACTCTTTCTAAAGAATTGTAGCACGGGGATGGAGAGATGGCTCTGTGATTAAGAATACTGGTTGTTCTTGCAGAAGACCAGGGTTCGAATCCCAGCACCCACATGGCAGCTAACAACTGTCTATAACTCCAGTTCCAGGGGATCCAGCAGCCTTTTCTGACCTCTGTGGGCATTGCATGACACGGGTGCACTTACCTACATGCAGGCAATACACGCATACACATAAAATAAAAAATAAAGGGCTGGAGAGATGGCTCAGCAGTTAAGAGTACTGACTGCTCTTGCAGAGGACCTGGATTCAATCCCCAGCACCCACATGGTGGCTACAAACCGTCCTTAACTCAGAAACCCTCTTCTGACCTCCACAGCATTGCACGACATGGGTGCACTCATGTACATGAACATAAAATAAAAATAACAAAATATTTTTAATTAAAAAAATAAGTAAAAAAAAAAAAAAAGAATTCTAGCACTAAGTAACCCAACAGTAACTGAAGGAATTTTTCTGTTTATAGAAGTATTCCAAGTAATAAACAAAGAATAATACGAGTTTTTCCATGCCCAATGAATTAAGAGATCTTCCTTTGAATGTCAACTACCACTATCATCACATGACAGCATGAACCTCCAGAAATATAATTCTGAAGCAGCCCAGTGGGAAAAAAAAAAACCTTGAGGGGCAGTGAAATGGTTCAGTGGATAAAGGCAGAGAGAATGCAAGAGCTAGAGGATTGGGAGGAGCGCTGAGAAATGCTGTCTTCTGGACATGACAGAGCCTTTGCACTCACAAACTCACAGCAACTACAGTCACCTGCACACTCACAAATACACATGCACACATGCACACACAATTTAAAAAACTAAACAAGGGCAAGGCATGGCGGCACATGCCTTAATCCCAACACTCCAGAGGCAGAGGCAGGCAGATCTCTGTGAGTTCGAGGCCAGCCTGATCTACATATTAAATTCCAAGCCAGCTGGGACTACAGGAAGACCCTATCTCAAAAAAGACCAAAAAAAAAAAAAATTAAACGAGGACTGGAGAGATGACTCAGTAGTTAAGAGCACTGGCTGCTCCTGCATAAAATAAAAATAATAAATATAAAAATTAATAATAAATAAGATTTTTTAATTAAACAACCCCCCTGAAAATAACAAACGTATTGAACATTTAAAAAAAATTTTTGTTAGTATTTTGTGTGTATGAGTTATTGCCTGCAGGCGTGTAAATGCACCCTTGCCGTGCAATATCCATGGGGATCAGAGGAGGGCATCAGATCCCCTGTAACTGGAGTTAAGGACAGTTGTTAGCTGCCATGTGGGTGCTGAGAATCAAACCCGGGTCCTCTGCAAGAGCGGCCATAGCTCTTAACCCCTGAGCCATTTCTCCAGCCCCAAAAGTACTGAACATTTTAAAAAGTGGGGACTAGCTGGGCAAGGTGGCGCACACTTTTGATCCCAGCTCTGGAGGCAGAAGCAGGTGATCTCTGTGATTTCAAGACCAATCTGATCTACGTAGCTAGTTACTGGCCAGGCAGGACTACATAGTGAGACCCTGTCTCAAACAAAAACAAACAAAACAAGGAAACAATTCGAGGTAGGTAGACAGCTCAAATGGTAAAGTGCTTACCACACAAACATAAGGACCTGAGGTTGATCCCCTAGAGCCCACATTAAAAAGGCCAGGAATAGTGATATGTGCACATCCCAGCACTGGGGTGTGGAGACAGGCCGGTCTCTGGGGCTGGATGATCAGCTGGCCTGGTCTAATCTGTGACAATAAAAGACCCCTGCTCAATCAATCAATCAATCATCTTTCTTTCTGAAGTCCCCATGATTGGGGAGCAAGTGTTCTTAACTGAGGCTGAGCAGTCTCTCCAGCCTCAGAATATCACTTTGGAAGGAAGGAAAGAAAAAACGAAATGGGAGGAAAAGGGTAACCTCTAATGAAACAGTAGGTCTAAGCAGTGATAGTCAATGACTACCACATAAGATCATTAACTCTAATAATCAGTCTACAATAAATAAAAAGGACACAGAGGTGATACGATACTTGGTGTACTGGTAGAGTGTGTGAGGCCCTAGGTCCAATCCCTAGTACCACCCCCCCCAAGAAGAAAAGAAACAAAGAAAGTCATCAGAAAATATATCAATATCTTCATGTATAATCTATAGGAAACATAATGTAGCAAACTATAGAACAATTAATTTCATTTAATGTTACTTTGCAAGGAAAAGAAAAAGGAAATGGGAATCTAGATATAAAGGGTTTTTTTGTTTTTGTTTCTTCTTGTCATTGTTTTTGAGACAGAGTCTCTCTGTAGCCCCAACTGGCCTGGAACTCACTCTGTAGACCAGGCTAGCCTCCATCCTACAGAGAGCCACCTGCCTCTGCCTCCCAAGTGCTGCAATTAAAGGCGTAAGCCACCACACACAGTCTAGTATGCTTTGGTTTTTTTTTTTAGTGATTAAAGATTCTTTTATTTGTGTATGTGTGGGGGGGGTGGGGTGGGGGTGCCGTGTGTGTGGGTGTCCAAATATGTGCCACTTGTGGGAGGGGGGCCACAGAGGCCAGAAGAGTGCATCAGATCCACTGAACCTGGAATTAGAGGTAGTCATGAGCCACCCACTGTGGGTACCAGGAAACAAACTCAGGTCCTTTGCAAGTTCAACCAGTACTCTTAACCATTGAGCCATCTCTCCAGCCACTATTTTTAAGAGATCTTTTAGAAAATCATGTCAAAATACAATTTAAACAGTATGATATCTAGTGTGCCCCTGAGAATAACCATGGATAGGGGTGGGGATGGGAATGTGGCAAATAGGGTGGAAGTACTGCAGATTAGAGTTACTGAATTGATGCTTACTGTAGCCAAGTGATGGGTCCTCAGAGTTCATTGGATTGTTCCCCTTTTTCTTTTTTAAAATAATTTATTGAGAATTTCATACATGCATAT